ATGGTGGTGGATGGGCACTGGCATCTCTTCAGTTAAACCTACATTCCAACATGAGGTTCCATTAATCTGCCAAAAATTACTTTCTCATATCCCTACCTCACCTCATTCTGGAGCAAACTTCTCATTTCAAGAAGCAGTGGCGGTGTGGCCATGGTGAGCTGCACCCCCTTGCCTTGCCTCCCCACCCCCCACCCCCCACCCATTCCTATTGTTACCACCCACCCCAACTGTTTCCCCTCCCCAACTGGTACAGCTGTTTATGGTCACATAACATCCACTTTGTGTATTTTATGAATTTGATTTCTCAATCAACATGTTTTCATATGCTGTTTGTCTTTGCGTTAGAATAGCTTCTGCTACACATGCTTGTGATGATTGTGATGTTGTAAAAAAGGAAGCAGTGCCAAAAAATTGAAATTCTTACCATTATATGAATTTGTTATGTTTTAGTAGATCGAGTTTCCCCTGAGCATGTGGTTTTGTCATCAGTGCATGTAATCATACAACTAGTGGAGATTTCCCTCCACATCAAGCTGACACGCCATTATATAACTGGAATACTGTTTAACTCACTCACTCACTCATTGACAAGGGCTTTCCCTCCACGTCAAGCTGACACGCCATTATATAACTGGAATACTGTTTAACTCACTCACTCACTCATTGACAAGGGCTTTCCCTCCACGTCAAGCTGACACGCCATTATATAACTGGAATACTGTTTAACTCACTCACTCACTCAATGACAAGGGCTTTCCCTCCATGTCAGGCTGACACGCCATTATATAACTGGAATATTGTTTAACTCACTCACTCACTCATTGTCAAGGGCTTTCCCTCCACATCAAGCTGACAAGCCATTATATAACTGGAATATTGTTTAACTCACTCACTCACTCATTGTCAAGGGCTTTCCCGCCACGTCAAGCTGACAAGCCATTATATAACTGGAATATTGTTTAACTCACTCACTCACTCATTTTCAAGGGCTTTCCCTCCATGTCAGGCTGACATGTCAGGATGTAACTGGAATACTGTTAAAAGCTGTGTTATACCCAACTCACTCACTCACTCAATGACAAGGGTTTTCCCTCCATGTCAGGCTGACACGCCATTATATAACTGGAATATTGTTTAACTCACTCACTCACTCATTGACAAGGGCTTTCCTTCCACGTCAAGCTGACATGCCATTATATAACTGGAATACTGTTTAACTCACTCACTCACTCATTGTAAAGGTCTTTCCCTCCACGTCAAGCTGACAAGCCATTATATAACTGGAATATTGTTTAACTCACTCACTCACTCATTGTCAAGGGCTTTCCCTCCATGTCAGGCTGACACGCCGTTATATAACTGGAATATTGTTTAACTCACTCACTCACTCATTGTCAAGGGCTTTCCCTCCACGTCAAGCTGACAAGCCATTATATAACTGGAATATTGTTTAACTCACTCACTCACTTATTTTCAAGATCTTTCCCTCCACGTCAGGCTGACATGCCGTTATATAACTGGAATATTGTTTAACTCACTCACTCACTCATTGTCAAGGGCTTTCCCTCCATGTCAGGCTGACAAGCCGTTATATAACTGGAATATTGTTTAACTCACTCACTCACTTATTGACAAGGGCTTTCCCTCCACATCAAGCTGACAAGCCATTATATAACTGGAATATTGTTTAACTCACTCACTCACTCATTGACAAGGGCTTTCCCTCCACGTCAAGCTGACAAGCCATTATATAACTGGAATATTGTTTAACTCACTCACTCACTCATTTTCAAGGGCTTTCCCTCCATGTCAGGCTGACATGTCAGGATGTAACTGGAATACTGTTAAAAGCTGTGTTATACCCAACTCACACACTCACTCATTGTCAAGGGCTTTCCCTCAACATCAAGCTGACAAGCCATTATATAACTGGAATATTGTTTAACTCACTCACTCACTCATTGTCAAGGGCTTTCCCTCCACGTCAAGCTGACAAGCCATTATATAACTGGAATATTGTTTAACTCACTCACTCACTCATTGTCAAGGGCTTTCCCTCCACGTCAAGCTGACAAGCCATTATATAACTGGAATATTGTTTAACTCACTCACTCACTCATTTTCAAGATCTTTCCCTCCATGTCAGGCTGACATGTCAGGATGTAACTGGAATACTGTTAAAAGCTGTGTTATACCCAACTCACACACTCACTCATTTTCAAGGGCTTTCCCTTCACGTCAAGCTGACATGTCATGGTATAACTGGAATACTGTTATAAACGGCGTTAAAGCCAACTCACTTATTCACTCATTGTGAAACTTGGTCACTTTGTCCAGTAGATACACTCCAGAACAACTGAGTTGAGGGTGAGTGGTCCTCTGGTGAGTGCTCTTGTTTGTTGCACATAAAGACAGTGTTCAAATCCTTACGGAAGAGTTTGTCCTGCTGTGATTGCTCATGTACCTCATGTTGATGAGTCATATGACTGAAAGTCTGATGAAGATTGTCTCTTCTGTATGAAGAGCAACTTTTTCTGATTTTTTTTTTATTTAAAACATATTTTTTATCTGAATGTCACTGTTCATTCTGCTAGACGCACAAAACTCACAATTTAAACCTTTTTGTTTACAAATACCATTATTAATGTTTCCCATATATAGATGAAACTCTATTCTTTAGGAAAACATTATTGTTCCTGAATTTGCTTATATTCTACTCATTGCACAACTGATTAACTATAGTAATATGAAAGAACACCTTTTGAGTAATATTTTTAGTAGAGAGATAACATCTTGCAATGTTAAGCACTTCCCTCAGTTTCTAATGTCAGCAATTGTTCATTGATAATGCCAAACAATCCTCATGTAACCAGTTAGCTTTGAAGCACAGCAGCTTGAGTTGCCCAGAGAACACGAAAACATACAAGCCGATATTCTTACATGTTGCATCAAGACCCGTGAAGATCCGGGATGGAATAGGTCTTCAGCAACCCATGCTTGTCGTAAAAGGTGACTATGCTTGTCAGGAGAGGCAACTTACGGGATCGGGTGGTCAGGCTTGCTGACTTGTTGATACATGTCATCGATCCCAATTGCGTGGATTGATGTTCATGATATCAATCGCTGGATTGTCGGGTCCAGACTCGATTATTTACAGACCCGTCATACAGCTGGAATATTGCTGAGTGCGGCGTTACTTAACAAACAAACAATCATGTTGCATCAAATTTTCCCAACTTCCATGACATGGGTGAGTGAGGTGTTTTTATATGCTAGGCAGTGCCCAGAGCTGTAACCTTACTCTCAGTTAAACAAGGTATGAGGAAGGGATAGACATATGGCAGCCATATTGGAAATTCCACTTCATGATTTATTGCTATAAATTCGTCAGCTTGAGTATGAAATGGTGCCAATTTCATGTTCCTGGTACTGTTATAAGTAATATATTTATAGATCTCATCAAGTCGTCATCAAGCGACTCTTGGAGATTTGCGAAAGCAACTCTTGGCAATGATCCACAAACCGAAATACATCATTATTGGATCCATATGTCATTTTTCTAAATTGAAATAGTACCAAACTATTCAGTATCATAATGATGTTTTTTTACTTCAATAATTAGACATAAGACATTTTCACAAGTTGCTGTTAGGAAAGCACTACCAGACAAGTACTTCCTCTTGACTGAAATTAACAAGTAATGAACAACTTTGTACTGTGAAATAAGCGTGGATTTATTTCACATTTTGCACACGTGTTGAGTTTTCTTTCGAAGTAGGTGAAGACCTGAATCCTGTCTTGTCTCAGAAGTATGGGAATGAATGTTACCTAATATTGATTGAAATCTCCGCCATCTATCATACTCATGGCGTGTGTAATCTACAACCTTCTTGATGTGGATATCAGCTGTTTTGTAGACTAGGTTGCAGATTTAATGTTTTCATTTCACACTTTTTGCCAGGAGTAATTCTTTGAATGTACAAATGAGCTTCCTTTTGTTTGACTGTTTGCCAAAAATACACCACCACGCATCACAAGTACAATAGTATGCATACCTTGGATACGCATCCCGAACTTGAAATTGGTGTAAAAATATCAATAGTGTAGGTTAAGATTTCAATAGACCATAGTTTGTCAGGATAATGCTTCTCCAGTTTTGAAGTTTGAAAGTGTTTTTTTTTATCACCCAGACATGTTGTTGAGTATGTTAGATAGGAATCTGTGATTCCCATAAGAGGGCATGTAGTCAAAGATGGGTGATTCTATACAATTTTGTCAGTATAGTTTTCATAACATTAGGTCATAAAACTTAAAGCCAAGGCTGTGATATGATAAATGTTTTCCGTGTGTTTTCACATTACAAAAAATGTAGTTAAAATGTATGAATTACTGCTTTCATATTGTGATTGTGTATGGGAAAAATGTGTTTTTGTTTTGTTTGTACCCAATTATGCCTGGCTGTAGCGGTAAGCAAGTATGCATTTTACACAAGGAAAATAAGTTCCTGTCCCATTTAATTATCCAAGAAATTGGAGTCTGTATACATGTTAACTTAGGCAACGCATGCCGATAAAAGTTAACATTAGAGAATAACCAATGCTGATTGTCATCTGAAACATATACCATTGGGTGTGAAAGGCAAAATAACGGTGAAAATGTTATGAATGTATCACTGAAAATCAGAGATGACACAAGGTGTTTTTGAAAAAGCCTAAAGACTGAGTTCGACTCCGACTCACAATTATCAGAATTGGCTGAGATAGAAGCTTAACTAAACAGGAGACATGAAAGTTTGAGACATGAAATGTCATGTCCCCTGTTTGCTGAAAATCATTAATCATGTTTCAAGTCAAGAAATTAGCTTGTGATGGTTACTTGGTTTCTTTTTCGATTAGAAATAATAAGTAGGAAATTAAGAAATGGCACAACCTTATGATTTGTGATATATTCCCGCAACAACTTACAGACGCAAGTATGAGCACTGTTTTGCTGTGTTGTAGGTGGTAATGTCATCAAGGTGTGGGATGCCCTGGCTGGAGGGAGGCTCCTGGCCACACTCACCAACCACCACAAGACAGTCACAGCACTCGCCTTCTGCAGCAAGTACCAGCGCCTCCTGTCTGCGTCTCTGGACAGGTGAGTCTGTTACATCACTGTCTGTATTACCCCACAGGTGAGATCAGTGAAATATCTGAAAAATATTTTCTCAAGAACAAAAACAGTTCCCAATCCAGATCAGATTGTTCTTTTCTCATGAACCTCCCAATCCAGATCAGATTGTCTTCTCGTGAACCTCTTAGTCCAGATCAGATTGTTGTCTTCCCGTGCTGATCCCAATCCAGATCAGATTGTTGTCTTCTCGTGAAGCTCCTAACCCAGATCAGATTGTTGTCTTCTCGTGAAGCTCCCAATCCATATCAGATTGTCTTCTTGTGGAGTTCCAAATCCATATCAGATTGTTGTCTTGTCGTGGAGATGCCAGACCAGGTCAGATTGTTGTCTTCTCATGGAGATCCCAGTCCAGATCAGATTGTTGTCTTCTCGTGGAGATCCCAATCCAGATCAGATTGTTGTCTCTACTCGTGAAGCTCCAAGTCCATATCAGATTGTCTTCTTGTGGAGTTCCAAATTCAGATCAGATTGTTGTCTTATCATAAAGCTCCCAATCCAGATCTGATTGTTGTCTTCTCGTGAACCTCCCAATTCAGATCAGATTGTTGTCTTCACATGAAGTCCCAATCAAGATCAGATTGTTGTCTTCTCGTGAACCTCCCAATCCAGATGAGATTGTTGCCTTCTTGTGGTGTTCCCAGTACAAATCAGATGGTCGTCTTCTCGAGAACCTCCCAATCCAGATCTGATTATTGTCTCTTTCGTGTGAAGCTCCCAGACCATATCAGATTGTTGTTTTCACATGAAGCTCCCAATCCAGATCAGATCATCTTCTCGTAAACCTACAGATTCAGATCAGATTGTTCTTTTCTCATGAACCTTTCAATCCAGATCAGATTGTCTTCTCGTGAACCTCTCAGTCCAGATCATATTGTTGTCTTGTGAAGCTCCCAATCCAGATCAGATTGTTGCCTTCTCGTGGTGTTCCCCGTACAGATCAGATTGTTGTCTTCTTGTGAAGTTCCCAGTCGAGGTCAGATTGTTGTCTTCTCATGAAGTTCCAAGTCCATATCAGATTGTTGTCTTCTTGTAGAGTTCTGAATCAAGATGAGATTGTTGTATTCCCATGGAGTTCCCATTCCAGATCAGATTGCTGTTTTCTTGTGAAGCTCCCAGTCCAGATCAGATTTTTTTCCTCTCATCAAGGTCAAAGCTTGTGTTGCCTCATCACACAAAACCTCCTCAATATAAGTTACTTTCACATCAGAGTTTTTAACCTGAGAAAGAACCTAATCAAGACCAAACTGTTCTTATTTCACAAAAGAGATCCTCAGTAATGTGAGACTGTTGTCTTCTCAGGATGAATGTTTTCCTTCGAATCTGACTCTCCTTGTCTCAGGCCTTTTTTGCCTTGGACCCATCTGTGATGTCATTATTACCATCATAGCTCACACGCACAGTCTCTTGTGATACAGGTGTGTCAAACCGAGAGAAGTTAGTATCCCAGCAGGTAGAATGAGAAGACAACTAGCCTTGCAAGGAGTTTTGATGTTACTGCTGTTTTCGACTGAAAGGGTGACAGATAGTAATTCAATGACATCAATACTATTTGAAAAGCCAAGTGTTGTGACAATAAGAGAAATGTACTATACAATGCAGCTTGTAATTACAAGAGCTGAGGATTGTAATGTTCGATGAATCACAGTGGTTACTGATCTATAGATATATTTCAATTTAAGAAAAATGAATTTTAAGAATTAAATGTGATAAATGCTGATATGGTATTTATTCCTGGACAGACTCAGCAGACTAGTTGTTTTTGAATGTTTAGAGTACTCCGTCAGTACCTGGCCATGTTGAACATTGCCTTCTCTACAGTGCTGTGACACACTGGTGAGAAAGTCGGTCCAACAGATGTTGGATCAGAAATACAATCTTGATAATAAAAAGATGCAACAACAAAGCATGGGCCCTATCTGTAGATTAGGGAGGGAGACCTTCTCTCCAGTGTCTGCAGGCTTGTCACTTTCAGCCTTGACTGACAGCCCTCAGAAGAAGAATGCCATCTGGCAGTGTACATTTCAGCCTCAACCAATACCTACACTCACAAAGTTAATACACTGCTAGTCATTTTACATCAACCAATGTAATTTGTTGGATATCAAAATAAACTTGGTGTTTTCTGAATTAGAAGTAGACACAAAGTTTATTGGCCGTACTCGTACTCAAAATATTTCTTGTGAGGTTAAGACTATTTTCATTCCTGGAATGGTGTGTTTTAGGTTATTTTTTTTAGCTTGTGAAGAGACGATTGCTGCCATTATTCAGCTGTGTATGTTACGTCTTGGTATTGGCTCATGGGTTGGTCATTATCATGATGGGGACACCAGGATAGTCCAGTGGAGAAAGTGCTTGCTCATCACACCAAAGACCTGGTTTGAATCCCTAGGTGGTAACAGTATGTAAAGCCCATTGTTGGTGTTCCTGAAGTGGCAGCTGGAAGGATGCTTAACTAGGGCTGGGACGGGTAGCTCGGGTCCTCGGGTCGGGTGGGTCCTGAGTAAAAATAAAATTCCGTGGTTACACTAGTACAAGTCGTTAATGTTTGCATTTCTTTCGGACCATGCACACATTCCTTCTGACTTTTATATGTTTGAGTAAAGACAAAGCTTCAGTCAACTTTAATGTATGCATGATCAGATCGTTTTATACCATATCTAAACACTTTTTGCCAGGGCTCCAGTAAAACAATTCCCAATTGAACATTTTGTACCTTGAGACTTACAGTGGGTACCCGGGTAGAGTTGGGTAATAGGGGGTCGGGTACCCGGCAGTAAATTTGGACTCGTCCCAACCCTAATTCTAACATTGGTGCATGATCCAACACCCAACTCGATCATGTTGATGGAAACACATTGAACGCTTTGGGTTGTTTGGATGAGTTTGCAGCATAACAAGTAATAGAAATATGAATGAAGTGGTGGAAGTTTGACTTCAGGGTGACTGAAACCATGACCATAATATTGTGGCCTGCCTTAGAGACACAACTCTGCACAGAAGTTGTGATCCCTCAGGGGATAGACTATATAAGAAGGAGCCCAGAGACTCTCTTCATTTTCAGATACTGCAGTAATTGAGACTTGCCAAACATTATAGACTTGCATGGGCTGTATTTGAAATATTTGTATCAGGGTCTGTCAGACAGACCGATCAGAGGACTCAGCTATCAGTTGCTACAACATATTGTGAATCAAGTAGGAGGTGCCTTGAGAAACGGGTGCCTCGAGAATTAGGTGTGTTGTGAGGATGGTGCATCGAGAATTAAGTGTGTCGTAAAGTAGGTGCATCGACAATTAGGTGTGTCATGAAGTAGGTGCATCGAGAATTAGGTGTGTCGTGAAGTAGGTGCATCGAGAATTAGGTGTGTCGTGAAGTGGGTGCATCGAGAATTAGGTGTGTCGTAAAGTAGGTGCATCGAGAATTAGGTGTGTCGTGAAGTAGATGCATCGAGAATTAGGTGTGTCGTGAAGTGGGTGCATCGAGAATTAGGTGTGTCGTGAATTAGGTGTGTCGTGAAGTAGGTGCATCGAGAATTAGGTGTGTCGTGAAGTAGGTGCATCGAGAATTAGGTGTGTCGTGAATAAGGTGTGACGTGAAGTAGGTGCATCGAGAATTAGGTGTGTCGTGAAGTAGGTGCATCAAGAATTAGGTGTGTCGTGAAGTAGGTGCATCGAGAATTAGGTGTGTCGTGAAGTAGGTGCATCGAGAATTAGGTGTGTCGTGAATAAGGTGTGACGTGAAGTAGGTGCATCGAGAATTAGGTGTGTCGTGAAGTAGGTGCATCGAGAATTAGGTGTGTCTTGAATTAGGTGTGTCGTGAAGTAGGTGCATCGAGAATTAGGTGTGTCGTGAAGTAGGTGCATCGAGAATTAGGTGTGTCGTGAATAAGGTGTGACGTGAAGTAGGTGCATCGAGAATTAGGTGTGTCGTGAAGTAGGTGCATCGAGAATTAGGTGTGTCGTGAAGTAGGTGTATCGTGAAGTAGGTGTATGATGAACTAAGTGTATGATGAACTAAGTGTATTGTGAACTAAGTGTATCGTGAACTAAGTGTATTGTGAACTAAGTGTTGTGAAGTAGGTGTATCGTGAAGTAAGTGTATTGCGAACTGAACAAGCACTAGTCTGATGCAACTTAAATGTTCACAGATGGCTTATGCTGTACTTTAGATGACAAGTGTGTAAAACTACACACACACACTCACTCACTACAACTGACATGACACTGTATTCATAGTGAGAAACTATATCACTGCAGTAAGCTCAGCACTTCGCCGCAGAGACAACAAAAGCATGTATACTGAACAAAACAAGTATGGGATCATGAATATTGTTGGGGATATTTTGATGAAGTTTGTGTGCTTAGTCTTCACAACAAAAAAGATTCCCCCAAAATGTTATGACCCCATACCTTTTTTGTTTAATATATAATAATGGAAAAAAGTGGAAATCTGATAATAAAACAGGTTGATGAACCAAAAACTAATCATTAGATTTGACCTGGATTTGGAATGTAAACCAGCAGATGGTGAGACGAGTGAAAGAGGACACCATTACTGATGCTTCTTTAAGTCAACATATGTAGGGTCTTGATACCATCGGCATGACAAAAGAAAGTTTGGGTCGTCTTTTAATGTTGATGTTGTAGTAGACTAGTATTCGCAGCTTGACGTGTGTGTTAATGTTTAGAAGACAAGACAGAAAACAAAGTAGAGATGTAGTGTGATGTGGGAGATACATTTGTAGTGCGAGATAAACAAGTTGATCTGGTTTCTTCCATTGCCAGATGCTGCTGGTAAAGTGGCAGCTAGGGCATGTACATTTCATGGCATCCATTTCTTGTACATTTCACCAGCGTAGGTTTCGTTGACGTACATTTCGATGTTCGTTTCAGTAGCGTAGATTTCAGTGGCGTACACTTCGCAGGATGAGCTTGATCACAATGCTGCCACTCTCACTACTCTCT